CCGATTCAAGCTGCAAGTGAGACACCGACTCCTGATATTGAAATAGTGGGCAATGAAGATTCTCAATTTCAGACGTTTGTTGCTCGATATAGACGAATTAGAGACCAAGAAACACACCTTGCACTTCGTAATGCATTGATTGATCATTTGTGGGAAGAATATTCTAATTCAGTCAATTAGATGTATTGTAGTTGTACCCGTGTTTTTTTATCTTGCGTGTGCTTTTTTTTTATTTGATATTATGTAATTTCTATTCCTACTCCCTAAATTTATTTAAATAGTCCTATGTTTTTTTGTTAAAATTTATGTAATTACTATTTATCTAATTAAAATTTTCTTAATTATATAATAATAATTTTGTTAAATAATATTTACCATTAAATTAATTCAAAATAAAAAAGAATAATAAGAGAATATTTTTATAGAGTAAGATGTAGAGTAAATGGTTGGAGATGAAATATCAACTTTACTCTAGAGTACAGTAGATGGCTGCTTTGTATATATTCAACGGGAAATTGTAATTGATCTCAATTTCAGAGGACTCTAATCTGTAAAAAAATAAATAAGATATAAAATACCGTAATTATATATTAAAATAATAAAATATGCACTCAAGCACGATTATGATTATGATGATACAACATGACATTTATTAGTTTGAATAGCATAGTAATTATATAAAATCAGTTAGATTATGCATAAATACAAGTAAAACTAGTACAACGCTTGTGTATTACACGGGTGCTTGCTAATTTTTTCTTTAAAATCTAAATTAATGAGAAAAAATAGTTGAAAATTTAAATATCTTTTATTTATGCGACTTACCTGTGTTATATAGTAATAATTTTTTTAACTTACAACATATAACTACATTAAACATTATATATCAATTGAGAAATAATTTTTTTTTCTAATAAATTTTAATAAATATTATTATTTTTTATTGCTATAAAGATAAATATAATTTATTTATTTCATATATACAATATAAATGTCAAATCGAAGATCATCAAAAGATGATTAATTTGATATATTATATATGTAAAATCGATAAGAAATACGAAAGTTATCAACTTTAAAAAAAATTTACAATTCAATAGCTAATTGAAGGAAACAAATAAAAAATCAGAGATATATTAGTCACTTAGTGTCTCACTATGTAAAATTACAAAGAATTAAATGGTTATATTACTACAAGTGATATTAAAATACCTAAGTTAGCTAAATAATATTTATGGAATGTCCGAACCTAGATTATTAATTATTAATATATCAATATTATTTGTCCAAACCTAATTACGAAGCATGATTCTTCGACAAATAGGATTCTGAAACACCAGAAGCAGCCACGTAGGCTCAGCGCATTCGGGAATTATATATAGGGGATATTACACATTGTTTCTAGCATATAACATTTAAGACATAATATTTAATGTTACAAGTTAGCTAATGAGTACCATATTTTTTTAAATTTTAAAAATTAGTAAACAGTGAAAAATATAAATATAAATTTCATATGAATGTATATATTTATAACATAAATTGCAATAAATAGGATGTTTATTATAATTTTGAGAGATTAATTAATGATTGAAAATATTATTATTACTATTATTTGTAATTTTAAAAGGTTTGATTATGGCATAAAAATTTATTTGCTTATTTTATGGAAAAATAGCAGAATGAGATGGAAAAACAATATTAATGTTAGAATAAATAGCTTGAAGAAAAAAATTTGCTATAAATTTTTTGATATGTAAGTAACTTCTTGTATTAATAATTAGTTAGTATTATTATATAATTCGATGGTTAAAATGATATAAATTGTTTCAATTAGCTACTATAGTAAAATTGATTGCTTAATATATATATATATATATATATATATATATGGGAGGATCCAATTGGTCCACTCTATAAAATGAGTCAACTTCTTAAAATATATATTAATTAAATAATAAAATAATTATTAGTTGACTTCCGGCGTTGACTCCGACGAAAAACATTGACTTTCGGTGTTGACCGTTGCCTTCCGTCGTTGACTCCGACATTGTCCGTTGACTTCCGGCGTTGACATGTTGCCCTTGGTTTGCAATATGTATGAAGTAAATATGCATCCAGTACCATGCATGCAATATGAACTAAATATGCATGAAATATGAATTGCATATGCAGTCCTTATGAACTAAATATGTACCAATAATATATACTAAGTATGCACTTGTTATTAACTAAATATGCATCTCTTATGAACAAATATGTATCATGAATGAACTATGCAGCGAAAAATATGCAATAAAAATTTACATTTTATATAGGTAATTTATGATGCATATTTAGTTAATTTATTATGAATATTTAGGTAATTTATGATGCATATTTAGTTAATACGAAATGCATACTTGTTATATTTAAATTAAATATATAATGATGTTTATATAGTTAATTTATGATGCATATTTAGTTAATTCATGATACATATTTGGTTCTTACGAAATGCATATTTAGTTCATGAACAGTGCATACATATTTTAGTTGAGATCCAATCATAACAATTTATTTGTGTTATTAATCCATTTAAAATTAAAATTAATTTTATGATAAAAATCATTTATTATTATATTTAATTTAATTGTATAAAATGTGTATTTTATTGCATATTTTCGTTGCATATTTAGTTAATTCATGATTCATATTTAGGTAGTAAAATGTGCATATTTAGTACATAAACAGTGCATACATAGTTGATATTATTGGTGCATATTTAGTTCTTAAGGATAACATATATAATTTATTTTTTATGCATATTTATTTTATACTAAGTGCATAGTACTGTATGCATATTTACTTCATACACAATGCATACTAAGAGTCAACAGTCAATGTTGGAAGTCAACGCTGAAAGTCAACGATTTTCGCCGGAGTCAACGCCAGAAGTCAACGGTCAATGCTGCAGTCAACGGTCAACGCCGAAGTCAATGGTCAATTGTCAAAATAATATTTAAATAATTAAAATAATCACAATAAAGAATTATTATTTAATTGTAGAGTTAAATCTTGGCCACACATAATGTACCAATCTAGTGGCTAGGATTGAGTCTCACATTCACACTTTAAATATGTGTACTCATTGGATTTGGATTCAATTATATTTGCTAGCAAAACATTTATAAAGGACGTTACAACTTATATTAATATTTTTTATTTATTTATCTATATATATAGGGACAAAAAGTTAATGACAAGTTTTCACTCTTTTCATTTAATTATGATAATTGGCCGTTACGTAATTAATTGTAATAATATTTTATAACGTATTTATCACGTAATATTTACTACTAATATTAATCTACTAGTACAGAGCCCGTGCGGTGCACGGGGTGTACAATTTTAAGGTCATTTATCGAGTCTTATAATTATATAAATAAATAAAAAAAATGTACGGGATATATATAGTACGTGACCTGTAATAGGCCAAAATGTGAACACGGGTGATGCACGGGGTGCACGATTTTAAGATCATTTATTAGTACAAAGCCCGTGCGATACACAGGGTGCACAATTTTCTAGTATGTGTAATAAAAATACATAGCGTATGCACGAGACAGAAGCACTAAATGAGTCATTTCAACAGAGCTTGCCCGTTAAGTAGCTCCTGAACACGGGTGCACAATTTGTAGTACGTACCATAAAATCAGAACAGATTTCCATACAATTAGATAATAAATTAGATAATAAATAAAACTTTTTTATTTTAGTAAAGATTTTACGTATTATTTTTTTTTTATTTATCGGATGTTATGAGATTTTTTTGTTAAACCGATTTTATGGAATATAATACAAATACAATTAGAGGATTGAACAAAATCAGAACAGATTTTCATGCAATTAGATAATAAAAAGGAATTGGATAAGGAAAAGAATGAATTAGATAAGAAAAAGAAGGAATTAGATAAAGAATTTTTAATCTGACTTCTTTTAAGTATAGATAGACTTTACGTACAAATTTTGACTTCATTGATTTTATGGGATTTGTTTTGACAAAATCGATGTTAATATGGAATAAGACAAATAAATAAAGTCTTTTTATTTTAGTAAAGATTTTACGTCTCTTTTTTTTACTTGTAAGATGTTATGGGATTTTTTTCTTAAACTGATTTTATGGGATATAAGATAAATAAATAAAATAATTAAATAAAATTCTGGAGAGAAATAGCAATGCATTAATTACGTTGACTTTTCAATCTACTAAATTTGGTAAATAGGATACCTTATATAATAAGTATAGATATATAAATAAATAACATGCCAAAATTTTAAAGAATAATTAATGTATTTTAATTTATTATCTAGCCATCAGTAATATCATTTAATGATGTGATCATTATCTCTTAAATGATAAATAAAATATTAATTTAAAAATAATATTTGTTTTTTATATACTCAAATAAAATTAAAAAATACTATCGTCAAATATGAATTATAATATATATAAGTAAAATTATTGCAGAAGTTAATAAAATTATTTAAGGAAACAATCTTTTTGATCATATTTGAATAGAAAATGTGTATATGCAACCAATTAATGCATATAGTAAAAAATTTCCAAATAAAGTATGCATTAAATGTGAGTTGACTTTTCTTGCTACTATTTTTGGTAATAGGATGGCTTTTAATATAAGTATAGATTATAAATTCGCATTAAATTTTATGCAAATTATACACTCATAACAAAATTTTATCGCAAATTATTTTCTTCGTTTTTTTTTTTCTAATTTTAAAATTAATATCATCATTTTATTTTTAACTCAATAAACAACTTTTTTAATAGCTAATTAGTATAATGGAATAACATACCCTTTGAAATTGTATAAATAATTTCAATTATTAATAATAATAATGTATTTTTTTCTTTTCAACCAACTTTGGATGGATTAATTATCAAAATTCATTACTCAATTTATATTATTTTAGGCCATATGATATTTTATTTGTATCAGTGCATGTACACATACTTGAATACTAGTGTGATTTGAAGTTGATATATATATATATAAGCAACGACTTATTAGATGAGGTCGTAAACATTGTTCTAAAAACTGGACCGGATCGGCCGGTTCAACCGGTTGGACTGGGAACCAGCCTTCAGTCCGATCCAGTTTGAGCCTTCAAACCGCTATGCAGGAGAACCGGTCAAGAACCGTTCGAACGGTCTAAAACTGGTTGAATCGGTGAATCGATTCAAATGGTTCACCGGTTCAAGCTTATGAATTTGAACTTGGTAGATTGTGAAGTGGTTTAAATAGAACATTTTTTTTACTTGTATTTCTCTATGTTTTTTTTTTTTTTTTTTTTTTTTTTTTTTTTTT